CCTCCTCCAAAAAAGCATCAAATGGGGATAAATTTAAAAATGCAGATGATGCAAGTATTTTTTTTAAAAAAATCCTTTTTTTTATAATCAGTCTTGTTTTATAAAATCTAAAAGAATATCTCAGAGTCGACTGCATATTTAAGATATTAGCAACAAGTCTCATTCCTACTCTGTTGATGGCTGTTCTGACTTTTGGAGAAGCAATGGTAGATAAAGACAGCTTTGGTTTTTGTGGAGCTAACAACTGTGATGGACAGGGGAACTGGTGAATGCACTGGCACCTCTTCAGATAAAGCAGAGGACCTGGAATCCCTCATTAGTGCTCCATGTAGATGCTCCCATTCTCTGTTGGGTTTTAGAGGTCTGGAAGCCAAGGGAAAGTCAGCTTTTAGCCTTCAAAGAAACACTGGGTTCACCCACTTTCTTTCTTCATTACTTCTGCAAATTGCAGAACAAGTTTCATCATAGTGGTGATTCTACTTCAGTCCATAATGAAAGAAATTTCATGTAAGTTTAAGAACTTTTTCAAAACCTATTCTGAAATAAACAGCAAAACGGTGATTTCCAGATGAATTGGAAATAAAAATTTGAAATTAATTTTAAGGAGCCTTCTGTGGATTGTTTAAAACCCTATTATAAATATATGAAGAGTTCGAATCTAAGTGCAAGAAACCTTCCTGTGGGAAAAACGTGGATTAGAGAAAAACATGATAAGAGAAGACTTTGAAGACTGGACATCCTGGAAGAATCAAAGATTATAATGAAAAGAAAACAGATCCACTAATATAGAATGGAGAAAGGTATTTTAACCTTGGAAGAACTCAAGGATATTTGGCAACAATGCACTTCAAAATTTGTCTTAGGTTTATCTGGTATCATAAAAATGGGCTCAAAATAGGAAATAGAATAGGATACAACTGAGGGGTCCTTGGTGCTCTCTGAACTTTGTTGCCTTCTTGCAGATATTTCATTACCCAAACTAGGTAACGTCATCAGGATATAACTGAGAACCAGGCTGTTCTGGATATGGATTTTAAAATGACATAAGAATTATATGGAAAAAGATTTTAACAGGACTAACAAATTAAACCAGCTGCCAACTAGTATTATTATTAATTAAAAGAATACACAGATAATAAATCAAAGAGTGACCTGGACAACTTTCATCCTTGATTTACAAAAGAAGTGTATGATATTCATGAAGGAGTTCCTGAGGGAAAAAAAGAGAAAAAGAAATGAAATAAGCTTTTAAGACAATATTTAAAGAGAATAAACATTAAGATTTTTAAAAGCAAAATGACTATAAAGTTGGCTATTTGATCAAGATTAAATAATAAATATGCTGTTCTTTCCAGTATCTTTTACAGTTTTTCATGACCAAGAATGAATGACAAGCCTTTAAAGATTTTTTTACAGATAAGATATGGGAAGAAGGTTTTTGTTTTCTTTTGTATTTTCACAGAAGCTATGGTGTTAAAACTAAAGGATTGCAAATTGTCTTATTCTGTTAAAATATAGATTTAATTTCTAATATGTGTTAAACCTGTGAAGCAGTTTACACAGAGAAAAAATTACAAGAAATTAACTTGTGGGACATATCTGAAGAGATAATTTTATTTATTTATTAATCAACCTTATATAGTCTTCACCCCAAGTAAGTCTGGGACACTCACAATAATATAATAATGATCAATATATTTTATTTATTGCTAGAGAAAATGATAAGTTACTGGGTTAAAAATAAATGAATGAAAAGAATATTAAGCTAATTATTTGATTAAATTTAAAATATATGTTATTATTTCTGATAGCTCTTAACAGACTTTTGCTGATAAAGAATGAATGATGGGCTTTATAATTTGTTTATAAACAAAGAATGAGGCATGGGAAGAAAAAAAATTTGGATGAAATATTTTAGAGAAGGTGAAAAGTTACTGAAATTGTTTATATTTGTCTTGATGAAGGGGAAGTATTTTCTTTGTATATTATCTATCTATCTATCTATCTATCTATCTATCTATCTATCTATCTATATTTTCACCTTTTTTTCTTCTACATCTAATTTTGTCACTTTTTATATTTTTCATAATTTGTATTATTTTTGTCTTTATATTTCTAACTTTCCCTCTCTAGTTTTATAGATTATAGTTTTCATTTACATCTTCTCTTCTCTGGATTTGAGTGAAAGTCTTTAGAGTAATGTAATGAAATCACGTTGCTCAATTTTATGAAAGTGCTGCAATGAAGCATCATGGTTCACAGAACTACATGAAGAGGACATCTCGCCAATCTTAGAAAATCTCAGAAGCGTAGCAATTCTGTGGAAAAACTGGGACATTTGTTTACATAATAGTGTGCATTTCTGAAGAAAAAACTCTTTGTAGAAGTTTGCCATTGACAGACTCCTGCTATTTCTTTAGTACTTTTGATTTTTAAGCTGTAACAACTGGAACAAAATGTTTTGAAATTTTTTTAACTGCAAGCAAAACAGTTACTATTTTGTAGCCTAGTGCTAAGACACCACCACAAAGGAGTGATGTGGTTAGCATCACATATAATTGTTTTTGACTCCGATTGCTTTTCAGTTACCACTTTCACACATCTCTGTGATGAAATCAATTTCTATAGCAGTTTTTCAAAGAAACAAGATGAGCAAAAAAAATTTCACACTTCTGAACATGGCAGAGTCAGCAGCACTCTGGCATTGTATGTTTACCTCTTGTTTTTGGCCAGTGACAACAGAAAAGATGGAAGTGTGCATTGGTGCTGGGGCAAATGCAATTTATGCCTAGATTCATTAGTATAACAAGTTCAGATAGTTTAATGATACTCATAAAGGTTTCACCATGATTCTTTTTAATTTATAGCCCTTTCATATATCTGTTATTCACTTAACTCTACCTTGTGTATCTAATGTTGCTCACATGCTCTACTTGGATATTTGCATATGTACATATATTATCCATAATTTTAAAGCATTTAAAATTTAAAGCATTCTCTCTCCTTAATAAGCATAAGCTACTTTTAGAATTTTGTTATTCAGGAACAGATCAAACCATACATTTATTACAACAAAAAACATAATAAACAAGCTTAGTTACAATTATTGTGAAATTCCTAAGCATTCATATAATTATGAGGCATGTAACTAAATTTTGTCATACTGAAAACTTCCTATTCAGAACTCAGTTTTATTCTAAAAAGTAGTCACAGTGGCATTATTGGCATAACTTTCCTTTTTGTTAATTTTTATTAAAGATTTTTTTGCAGAATAAACATCAATACAAATTTAGAAAAAAGAAGTGAAGAAAATAAAGAAAGCAAAGCAGGAATAAGCTTTCAGTTTAGAGGGGGCATGTTCCAGTTCCCTCCTATCACACATCTTCTTGTTGGACCCCCGAGACATGTCTTCACAGTTGCAGACTTTGTCCTACAGAACAGCATCTCTCAGAAATGGCTTGTTAGCCTTTCCTAAGGTACTGAAAAACTGGCTGTTTCCCAAGAAATTGAGGTCAGCATTTAGATGAGCTCTGCTGTGAGGTGCTTTTTTTCTTTTTAATGGGAGTCATAAAGAGTTTTTGTTTTTTATTGTTTATTCTTGTATGCCTGGGATTAGATGTGATGGGTTTTCTATGTGTGTACACCACTTAAGAATCATTTGTGTGAGATCAGCAGCTATAACTATCTTGTTATTAAATAAATAATATTTTTAAAACACTTCCCATTTGGTCTGTGCAAACCTAATTATTGTTTTTTAAAGGTACGGTCTCAGTTGTTTGAGATCCCCTTGAAATTACAACCCAATTTTTGAGAATCTTTTCTTGATGCTGCTCCCCTGAAATGTCTTAGTCATATCCTTTGCCACCATCTAGTGGTCGTTCAGAGTAGACCTTTATAAATCAGGTATGTAGCTGGCCTAAAGGCTTGTTTTTCCATTCACATTATTTTCCATTATTTTTTATCCAACAAGCTCTTAGTGTCCCATGACTGCTGAGCCTATTTGGTCCCTGTTGGTCTCCTGGAATTTTCCTCTTCCATTAAAATCAGAGATTACCTCATGCCTGCTAGTATATGATTTATGATTATTGTATTTTATTATTATGATTTATCATTTGTTGCTTGAATGTACATGAGAGCTTATGCACCGGAGACAAATTCCAATCACATTTGGCAAATGTTCTGTTCTATTCTACTGTACTGTACTGTATTCTATTCTCT